CCTATCTAGCTAGTGAACCTTTTTCCTTGATGAGGCAGGGACCTAACCCTAGTTTGCCATTAAGTGGCGCCAAGCGCACATTCAAGAAACGGTTTTTCAGGTCCATTAGCCACACGACCCCGCCAAAACAAAGAAAAAGAGAAAAAGTGAGGGAATCCAATCCACACTTTACCATTATAGTTCGTTGAAAGTGCAGAAAGAGATTCGCTTTGATGAAGAGAAGAAACCAGAGGTGAGAGATTGCGCCATGGAACCCTAATACTAATTATAAAGCACCAACACCATGGCCCCAGAAACGTCAAGCGGCTTGCTTCCATGTTGCAGACAATGATGCGCTCAAAAAGTGCAAGAAGTATGCGAGGAAGGCTTGCAAACGAAGGCATATATGGCGTCTTGGCATGGCATGCATGGGAAGCGCGTGCAGGATCCTAATGAATCCAATTTCTTGCCTTTTCAAGCTTGTTTAATGGCTAGGGTTTGGTGCATCACACTCTTAATATTTTCTTCGGCAATCGAGTAGAGTTTCCTTGTGCTAATTAATCATTGTTCTCGACAGAGCTTGATAATTGCCTATTTAACCGTTGTGTTCCTATAGCTGGGCTTTTTTCTCTCTTTTTTTTTGCCCAACCACATGGGAAAAGAATGATTATGTTGAATATACCGTTTGTTCCTTTTCCTTTCATCACTAAGATTGGAACGTTGAGGTAGTGGCTTTTAATTATTATTTTGGAATATAAAAATGGAAAAACATATTTTTTATTGTAAAAATATAGAAATTTATTTTAAAATTGTTTAATTAGGAAGTAAATATATTTATATTCTTGTTATCTTTGATTTTTCTGTGTATCCAAGCAGTGATCAAATGCTACTTTAAAAAATTAAATTAATTCATAATTGCAAAAGCTTTTTTTGCGTTGACCTGGTTAAATGACCTCAATAATCATGTTCCATGATCCTGCTGGTCCTTCTCGTTATCCGGCGAGGTAACCCGATGAAGTATTGGCACTAAACGTGATCTAGCAGATAAAATTTGATAACATTATGTATTTTGTTCAGAGATTGGTCCTACGAGGTTTCTGGGTTCAGAGCACCAGGAATATGAAATTCCATAGTTCAGGCTTCAAGGGAGGAAGCCTTCATTTTGACTAATTTGACAAAGCCCTTTCTATTTTCTATACAATTACAAAAGCTTAAGCCTTCACCTTGACATCCTAAACAAATAAATTAAGTTAATTAATTAGTGATTTTCCCATGCAATTCTTTCTTTGCCAAGGAGAAAAGGAGACTGATTTTTTCCTCTCCAATTTAAACTTGATTAAACTAATAGTATCATAATAGCTTCCAGGCTCAAACTTGATGAGTTGGGAAATCCACCGTAAATATTTAAATTTACATGTAAAATAAATAAATAAAAACATAGCATGTATATTAATAATAAACTAACTATGCTTAAATTAAAACATAAAATGTATTTACTTTTTTAAGTACCTAAGCAGTGAATATTTTGTTGTTATCTATGACAAATCCTTTATTCTTGATAATTTACTGATTTTCACTTATATATTTAAAATATTTACAGTATATCTCTCAAGATTGTAGTACCACCATCTTGATTTAGATATACTTTTAAATAAAATTTTTGAATCAAATATCATGTAAAAAATATTTTTTTAAAAATAAAAGATATTATTTTAATATATTTCAGCACAAAAAATATTTTAAAAAATAATTATAACTACGCTGTAAACAAACTTAAATTCTAGATTATTTCTAGCAAAAAACATTTTCTATTCTTAAAATAAAAAGTTTCTCATTCATCCTTTCGTTCTTGCACAAAAAGATTAATTTTTTCATTTAATTGGCTACTAAGCGGGTTTTTTAAATATCAGAACTGAAATTCAAATTGGATGGATACTTCACCTAAAGTTTTGAGGATTAAATATTGATTTCTCACTCCAAAACCTATTGCTCCATGGATTAATTTCGAGTATGATAAAAATCATATAGAAACCAATCACAACAAAACTTACAAAGGAGATTAAATTATGAGAAGCTGAGAGCTCAAAATAATGTCAGGAAACAGCAAATTCAATCATTCCCACATTAATTCAAGATAGGCAGTGTATGTTTTGGTATTTAATAAATCATCATTGCATGCCACCAGCTAATCCTTGAAAAAGTCGAACATTCTCTGCATCGTTCTCAACAAGCACGAAATACAACAGAAATTACTTGAATATGAGACGCAGCCTGCAAACACCGAGTTATTTTCATAAGAGTGCATGAAGATGGTACAAGAAACAACTCTACTAGTGGGAAGCTTTTCCTATGGTTTACATGAAGCCTTCACAGAAAGCATAAAATCAAGTTTAAGGGAGTCAGAACCAAGGAAAGGCTCAAAACAAAGCAAATGAAAAAATAAATAAAAAAAACTAGGGTATGCTGAGTCGGGGGTGAAAAAAATTAAAAAATTAATTAAACCAAGAAAACTAATTAAAAAATAACCGAACCATGAAAAAAAACTGATTAAATTGATTAGAACTTTTTAAAAATCGATTGGTTAGGTTTTATAAGCCTGAAATTAAAAAAACAAATCGAATCAAAATCAAAACCAGAAAAAATCGAACTAAACTAAAAAACCAAGCAAAACAAAAAAAAAACGAACCAAACCGATTTGAATCAATTTTTATTTTAAAACAAATGAACCAAAATAGGTCGATTTGAACTGGTTCTAATTTGATTTTTTTTTAAATAATTTATTTTTTTTAATAAAAACTAAATTAAACTAAAAATGACTACCCAAAATCTCATGTGACTGTATCAAATTACACCCATGCAATTATGGTGTACAATTTTCAAAGCTAATTGTTATTTTACTGTAAAAATGTAAAAATTAAAGGATCAAACTAAGGTTTTCTAGGCCTTTTGAATGTTTTGCAAATTAAAAAAATGCTTTGTTCTTTTATTTATGCTAATTTTGATCCTTCATCTTTCAAAATTTTTTAACTTCCTAAATTTTTATTTTGTAAAATCAATATTTTATTTAATGTTGGATTATTCTCTAACATCTTGCATGCAAATCAAAATAAATCTAAAAATATAAATCATGTAAGCAAAACTTCTGATAATCAGAGGAACTAAAAACTCGAGAGACCTGGAAGGAAAAAAATGCATCGTGAACAATGAGTAAAAATGAGCCCAATAAGGAGCATCGTGAAACATTGAGCTCCTTCAGTTTGTTGTATGATAGAAATATAAACCATCAATATTTTTCCATCATCACGTTAACTATACAGATATTTTCAACCGTGTACACGATAGATGGATATGGCGGCATTGAATTCTTGAGAAACTGATGTGGAATGGTCCATGTATTGGTGGGCAGTGTTCTTCGGTATGCTAACAGGGCTACTGTCTCTCTCTGTGCAGATGGATAGCAGAGAAGGACAACACCATTGCCTTCCAACAGTGCCTAGTCGATGAGAAAGCTGCCTATCACAGTCGCTCCCACCGGCAACTCTCCATGACCATACACTATTAACTGCAACCACCGTGGGTTAACCAATGAATATATCTCGATTTTTGGATGAATATATCGAGACAGATGGGTGCCATTGTAGCTCCACAAGGACGGCCACAAGGAGCCTAATTAAATAGAAAGGGGCTCCCTATCGTGGTGGTGGTTCTTGTGTCACTATCTTTTATCACAGCAGACGGGGCCCTGTCACCCATTTATTGGGTCTTCCAAGATTGATTGCTAGTGGGGATTATTTGACAGTAACGCTTGCAGTTTTGAGCAGCAAGGAACAATTTGCCTTTGTCCCGTATACTGAACATGCTCACGCAGGCATGCTTGGTAGCCCCCTCAATTATATGGAGCTGGTGAGGTCTACCAGAATTCTCATGCAGGTATTTGCTCTGCCTGATAATAATGTGGAGTTAGGCTTGATACCATCAATACAGTCATGCCTTTGCAATTATTCCTATAATTCAGTCCACATTTGTACACTTCTCAGTACAGATACGGAATACCATTAGATACAGTACATCATGGCTAGAAAGTACAAGAAGGGAGAATAATCCAAAGAAATGCTCAATACTTAAAATGACTTTCAACAATGTGGATACCACATGAAATTTCTATTGCATATCAATACGTGTCCAATAGTCAGCTTAAAGGAATTTTTAACACACAGCATACTCAAGGAATGTATAATAGACAATGAAGCAAAGCTATGACAGCTACGAACATCCATTCACAGGACGACGAGAAGAGTAGCAACCGATTTTGGGTGCGATCCACTTTCCATCTACACCATTGTTCTGATTGATTTCTATGGTCACCTATTGGTTCAACCAGTGCCTGTGCTTTAACTATGCGTGCTTGAGTTGGAGACAACTTGCAATTACTACTACACAAGACAAAGGGTATAACTTCTGTGGTATACATACTTCACAGAGGAAAACCACCTATTGATCACAAAAACAAGCACCCACATTTGAACGTTCAATCCCAAAACTTTAAACCCTATAAGTTAGCATCATGTGAATGGATAAGGGTAAGATAACTCTGGGCAGCTCTATAAACTGCCTCATTAAATCCACTCTCCCCCTCCAAGGAAAAAAAAAAAGAGGAGGAAAAATAAGACCCGCCATGATAAACTTGAGAGATCTACGGAAGGCCTGCACTTTATAAATAATTGCAACATTCTAGTATCACACCAGGCTTTCAAAACACACAAAGACATGCACACTCATGCATGCTCGCAGGTTTTGCTCCTATCACCTTTGGCAAGCCAAATTACATTAAGGTCGTCATAGCCTCCAACATGGTTAAAGGATTTGCATTTTCCCCTTTTCTATTTCTTGGGAGGTTACTTTCTAAATAAATGGTACAGGTCTGTTATCAAGATACAAATCCAGAATAGCATAATTGACTAGCTTGCCAAAAGAAGAGAAGAGAAAATGGAGGAAGAACCAGTAACATGCACCCTAAGGAGTTGCAGAATAGGTTTTCCTAATCTCGCACACAAACCTATATCATCCCATTTATAAGTCAGAGTTTTATAGCACAAATAAAAAATTACGCAAAAAGAATTTGTTATAAAGACTAAATGACATCAAGAGCAGCAATGGTTAAACCCAACCAACAGACAGGGAGGAACTACATGTGAGGAACTTACAAAATTTGGTCTAATATTCAATTTTTATCAAGCAAAAGCAACGGTACCACATATAGATGAATAAGGAATTATTAAGACATGGATTTTTTCTTCTCTTCCTCAAGTCGTTGCAGCTCTGCCAGTTTTTGAGCCCATTCTCTATCCCTAGCTACTGCAGCCATCTTACGCTCCACTCTCGCAATTCTTTTCTTCCTATTAGCCTCCTGCAACTGAGCTTTACGTTTCTTTTTCTCTGCCTGTTCATACTCAAAACCAAGTCCTTGTTAATGAAAATGGTATTATCTTTAGATGGGAAATAAAGCAAGTCTGAATTAAAGCCATCAGCCACCCAATGGGATGTTTCAAGATAATCACAAGGTAGGGCGGGATACATGATTAAAATTAATGAGGATTTGTGAATGCACAGGCACAAACACACACATTCATAATAACAAAAGGTAGGTTAAATCAAAACAAACAGTGTTGACAACTCATAAGACAAAAGGAGAACAAAAGATGAAGCCATTTGATACCCATACACTTCTCATTTGGCATAAAATCTGGTCAATTCCAAATGAATTCTAAAAAGACCCTTAATGAAGCCCAACAAAGACAAGTGTTAACAGTGTTCTCTCAAGGGTGAGAATCAACCAAGATAATCTACGAGTCTAGCAAAATGAACAAGGGTAGCACATGCATATCACAAACAAAGTTGTTAAGGGACACCCATATACAAATAATGTTTTTTTTGTTTCCATATCACAAACTATGCCATTCAAGAATTAATATCAAGCATTGCAGAATATATTCTTGTATTCATCTTTATTTATGGAACTTATGAAAGAAAGTAAATTATGAGAAGCTAAGAGCTCACTCTCATTGGTTACACAAAGACCCATGTCAGGTGATATCAAATCCAATCATCCCCACATAATTCAGGATAGGCTAGCTATCTTTTGATAGCTGATAAATAATCAGCGCATGCCACCCACAAAGTCAAAGTTTAAATGAAGCCTTCACAGAATGCACAAAGTCAAACATAAAATGGTCATAAACAAGTAAAAGTTCACGAGAAAGTGAGGATGGAGTATAAAAAAACAAACTGATTGGTGCAAATACCCTATCAGAAATTAATTTCCAAGCCTTCAGGGGTTGGTGACAAACAGAATCTACCAATCCTTTTGACACCTCTAGAAGGAATTTCCCATTGATGAGACTGTCATCTAGAAAGCAATTCCAAAATGAACTCCCTACAGCATTACCTCAATAGGCTTAGGTATCGCCCTAGACAGTTACAAGTTAATGTAATTTAGCTCAAAAGGGGGTTGAGGGTGTTGGCGGGGAGCTACATGATTGTTTCCTTCTAAACAAAATTAACTGCATTTTTCTATAATGCATAAATCCTGGCATCTTCATCAAATTAATGTGCACAAACTCGTTAATTCTGTGGATATAAAATTCCATTCAAGCTCTGATTAGTTTCGCAAAATCAAACAATGCCATGGAATACTAGATCACAATGCAATCAATTCTAGAATTTCCCTTTCACCATATATTCCTTCACTAGCTTTCTTTATGATATACTCTGTCCATTAACTGACACAAGCAGTACATGATATTTTTCATCAACCATGCTTGATTTCTTTTTTATTCTACCTTTAAAAAAACACAATTTTAAAGTCTAAACAGCAACTACCCTACAATACTCAAAGAAAAGACCAGCAAAATAATTGACAAATAATTTACTCTGAACACATGCAAAGAACTTTCTATAGGATTAATGAACACGAACCAGTATAAACTCCTTGCGTTGCCTGATGCGCTTCTTCTCATTCCTTCTCTTAACACTCCCTACATTAGGATTATTGGGTTTAATGGGTTGTCCTGGTACATACTGAACCCAGGCATATGGACCTGCATTATTCTCAATCCAATTACCATTTCTGACAAAAAGCAATTCCACACCCACAAAAACACAAAGTACAAAACAAAAAACTACTTTATCCCTTCTAACACCCTAGTCCCATAAAACCCCCAATCAAATTTTCATTTCTATCAAGTTACAATTCATACTCACAAAAATACACCCAAATCCCACCACAAAAGCTACAAAATATCCGGAAACCACAAAGCCCTAAAGCCCCAAATCAAGAAAAAAATAAAAAATCGCATCGATTACCTGGAGGTTTCAAGCTGGCTCTTTTTCTCCGAGGCTTATCGACGGGCCTTCGTTTAGGAAATCGAGTGCTGGTTAATCTATCAAAAGGGTTTGCTTCTGATAAGAAGCTGAAATGCCTGATCATTTGAGTCCATGGAGACTGGCCTCCACCGCTGAGAGAGAGCCTGAACTCTGGTTTTGAGGCCAAAAACAGCGCCGTTGAGGAAGTTCTGGCGTGGGTTGTTAGGGTTCTTGACAAGGGTCGAATTGCATTTCGTAGAGCTCCAAATCCCATTTTTGTTCTTCCAAAAATATCAATGAATTGAAGGGTTTTAGTCGAAGAAGATTGATGCAGCTATAGTGAAGTGAGGAGTGACATGGGCTATGAGAGTAAGTGACCAACAAAAGGAAAACCCACTTCATGTTTTGGGCTTTCTGATGGACTTGATTTGTTTTGCAAGCATTTTGGTCCCAAAAAAAAGGATTTTTTGTATTGAGATTAATTTATTATTTCCTTACATTACCTTTTATATTTTTATTTTTCATTCTATTTATTCTTATTATTTTAAATAATTTAAAATTTAATTTAAAATAATAATATTTTAAATAACTTATAATTTAGCTTTTATATTATCATATATTTTTTCAAAATAATTTAAGGGATGCATATGACAGTCTTGATTGGATGTTAGAAAGCTCCTTTCTTTCTTATGATCTCATTGTTTTATCAGAAATATACAATACAAGCTTGTAATATTGTCTTTCAAGGAAAAACAGCAACATAAACATATTTTGTAAGAAATATTGATTCAAACATTCTGGTTAAATATTTTTTTTACCTTTTATTTTCCAAATTAAGATTTATTAATTTTGAATTTTTTTTTAATTTACACATGGTAACAAGGATCTATTTTATATTATTAACTTTTAATAATTGGAATGCTACATAAATCAAAATCATAACTATAGAAATTCTAGAAACCGAATCTAATGGTGTTTGTGCATGTGTATAACATCTAGTTTAGAAAAAAAACTAACAAATTATTCATGAGTATAAGGTTTATATATTTACTTGCTTTATGTAGATAATAATATTGCAATTATTTAAAAATGTAAAAAAAAAATAATTACAAATGAGAACTTAATTACAAAAATATATAGTTATGAAGGGCCCCTCGATCACAGGCGAAGCTTCTTATTTGCATATTGCTAATTTTATGGTAAAGTCTCGCACTAAAGCCATTTGTGATGGCATAATTATCTCAGCAAATTTAAGCCCTATCTAGCTAGTGAACCTTTTTCCTTGATGAGGCAGGGACCTAACCCTAGTTTGCCATTAAGTGGCGCCAAGCGCACATTCAAGAAACGGTTTTTCAGGTCCATTAGCCACACGACCCCGCCAAAACAAAGAAAAAGAGAAAAAGTGAGGGAATCCAATCCACACTTTACCATTATAGTTCGTTGAAAGTGCAGAAAGAGATTCGCTTTGATGAAGAGAAGAAACCAGAGGTGAGAGATTGCGCCATGGAACCCTAATACTAATTATAAAGCACCAACACCATGGCCCCAAAAACGTCAAGCGGCTTGCTTCCATGTTGCAGACAATGATGCGCTCAAAAAGTGCAAGAAGTATGCGAGGAAGGCTTGCAAACGAAGGCATATATGGCGTCTTGGCATGGCATGCATGGGAAGCGCGTGCAGGATCCTAATGAATCCAATTTCTTGCCTTTTCAAGCTTGTTTAATGGCTAGGGTTTGGTGCATCACACTCTTAATATTTTCTTCGGCAATCGAGTATAGTTTCCTTGTGCTAATTAATCATTGTTCTCGACAGAGCTTGATAATTGCCTATTTAACCGTTGTGTTCCTATAGCTGGGCTTTTTTCTCTCTTTTCTTTTGCCCAACCACATGGGAAAAGAATGATTATGTTGAATATACCGTTTGTTCCTTTTCCTTTCATCACTAAGATTGGAACGTTGAGGTAGTGGCTTTTAATTATTATTTTGGAATATAAAAATGGAAAAACATATTTTTTATTGTAAAAATATAGAAATTTATTTTAAAATTGTTTAACTAGGAAGTAAATATATTTATATTCTTGTTATCTTTGATTTTTCTGTGTATCCAAGCAGTGATCAAATGCTACTTTAAGAAATTAAATTAATTCATAATTGCAAAAGCTTTTTTTGCGTTGACCTGGTTAAATGACCTCAATAATCATGTTCCATGATCCTGCTGGTCCTTCTCGTTATCCGGCGAGGTAACCCGATGAAGTATTGGCACTAAACGTGATCTAGCAGATAAAATTTGATAACATTATGTATTTTGTTCAGAGATTGGTCCTACGAGGTTTCTGGGTTCAGAGCACCAGGAATATGAAATTCCATAGTTCAGGCTTCAAGGGAGGAAGCCTTCATTTTGACTAATTTGACAAAGCCCTTTCTATTTTCTATACAATTACAAAAGCTTAAGCCTTCACCTTGACATCCTAAACAAATAAATTAAGTTAATTAATTAGTGATCTTCCCATGCAATTCTTTCTTTGCCAAGGAGAAAAGGAGACTGATTTTTTCCTCTCCAATTTAAACTTGATTAAACTAATAGTATCATAATAGCTTCCAGGCTCAAACTTGATGAGTTGGGAAATCCACCGTAAATATTTAAATTTACATGTAAAATAAATAAATAAAAACATAGCATGTATATTAATAATAAACTAACTATGCTTAAATTAAAACATAAAATGTATTTACTTTTTAAAGTACCTAAGCAGTGAATATTTTTTTATAAGAATTAATTCTTATCATTATCAATATTAATTTAATTAGCCACTATAAATCAATAATTAAATCTAAAAAAACTAAAGGTTTTTTTAATAGAAAAATTAAGGATTATTTGAGATTAATTTCTCATTCACTTGTAATTTATTTTAATCATGCTAGTTAAAATAAAATTTCAACATTATATATTAATGATTTTAATATATATATATATATATATCCAAGAAAATATAATATTTCTACGACTTATTGAAATGCTAAACTACAAATGAAAAAATGGAAAATATGAATTCAATATATAATAAATTAAAACCAAATAAATAAATAAATGTATAGGAATATACAAGTAAAGTTTAGAGTACGTTTGTTTCTAAAATGTTTTTGAAATTATTTTTCTTTGCTTTAATATTTTTATATTATTTTAACGAGTTAATATTAAAAAAAAAATAATAAAAATATTATTTCTATATATTTTTAAATAAAAAAACAATAATAAACAACATTACTCAACATATAGTAGGAAGCTTCGGTGCGAGTCCAAAATGCACCACATCTAACCACGTGGCGGAAAGGAGGATCCTCTTTCCGTCTGCTACTTCACCAATTGCCACGTGCACCTCGTGGGAATATTCTTTTCAATGCAAAAAGGGGGCATAATTGACAACTTAACTTAACGTCACGGCACCACCGACGTTAACGGACGTAGTGTCGTGGCCTCATGTGTAGCTACAGTGTTATAGAATAAATTAGATAATTAGCCTGTTTTACTGCGGATCGAACCGACGGTTTTTTTTTTTTTACCTTACGCAAATGTCGTTGACGTCTTTTCTAGTAATAAAAATACTTTAATTATAAATTTAAAATTTGATGTATAAAAATAAATATTATCAATGTTAAAGGACGTGGGATCTTAATAAAGAGAAAAAGGGAAATCTAAAAAATGAACCCCATCTATTTTTAAAATCAATTTTGCCCTCAAACAATTTTTTTATATCAATCCATTTTAAAAAAAATATTTCAGATATTTTTTTAGTAAATCTTTATATTCACATTTAATCATGAATTACATTCAAAATCTATGAATAAATCTTAATAAAAGGCTTCAATCGAGAAATTAAAAAATTGGACACAAAAAAAATCATTTGAGGTCAAAGTATTACTAACCCTGCAGTTTGGGGCATTTTGAAGGTTTGTCTAAGAGTTGTAAATATAAGTGTTATGGTGGTTATAGCTGTGAATATCAATATTTATATCACTATAATAAAGATATTTTCTCTCTCTCTCTCTGTCTAAATGGAAGATAATAATACTAAAAAATTGTTTAATATTGTAATATATTTTTTTACTTGATTATTAAAAAAAATTATTTGATTTGTGCCTTTTGTAATAGGTTATGTATATATGATTATGTTTTAAATTTGATTTGTGAAAACTAAAATAACTTATTTTTTATTTATGAAGACATGTTTTTTAACCAGATAAATTTATTTATTTATTTTACATGTAAAAATTTATATGATGACATTTTAAAAAATATATATATTTTTAAGACTTATCTTTTAAAAAATACAATTAAAAATAAATTTTAAAACCTATTTTTTAATCATAATTATAAAAATTACTACAATTCTAAATACACGCTAATTAAAAGTGTTTGCTTTTATTGTGGTATTTTTACTTCAATTTTTTTTTTGAATTTTTTGATATAATAATATTAAAAATAAATAAAAAAATATTATTTAAATAAAAAAATTAAAAACGACAACGGTTACAATACCGAACAGTAATTGGTATTCACGGTGGTGATAATGGTTTTTCCTTGGGTTCCATGGAAGCAATCATGGATGCAGGGCAGGTGCACCGACGCTTTTCCAATCGTGGACCCCAGCGAACAGCCACCTTAATTCTCAGCCATCTCTTTCACGTGTACCGTTAACTACCAGCCAATCACCTTGTCTCTTTGCCTCGCCAACCCCTTGCTCTCACCCTCGTTCCCGTTGAATCTTGATTTGATTGACGGTACTTTTCACTCTTCGCCATAGCTGCTCTTCCTCTTCTTTTCCCTTGCCGGTGAATGAGCCTAACAAGCCACTTGTAACCATCTGGTATGATTATTTTTATTACTTAAAAATAATATCTTTGATCCTGAATTTAAGATTAGTTGTTTTAGATTCATGGAACATCTCTGTTTTTTTATAAATCTAAATCTGAATCTGAATGTATATAGTATACTATGAGATCTGATATTTTTTTTATTAACATTAAATATTTTTAAGGATCATAAAATTAATAAATAGATAAATTTTTAACCGTTTAAATATTTGTGGAATTCAAACTAATAATTTTTTAAAAATAAATTTAAAGTATTGATTAAACTATGTCTTTTAAAATTAAAATATTATATCTTTAATACATAATAATATTAATGAGATAAAAACTTAGAAATAGAGTTCATGGGTATAATAATACCAATCAATATTACATGATTTTATGCACGTTGCACACGAGAAAGCTTCTAACTCACTCAAATCGAGCAGGAATCAACTCATCAAGCAAAGCCCAACGAAAAAAAATGTTGATATAAATGTTGTTTCCC